CACTTATTTTTAATTTGTATTATTGACCATGTTATATGATGCATTTTAATTATTTATCAAATCATTTATTATTTTCTTTTCTTTGCTCAACCAATAAACTTCTGTTTAGACATTTTTTGACAATTTGTATTTCCTCTTTCCACTATATCAATCTATTTAATTATGAGTGTATAGTGGAAATTGGATAGAAGATAAATACAAATAACCAGTTCATTATTGATAATTAATATAATAATATATAAAAAAGGTCAAAGGGAACAAAAACAAGGCGTCATAAAATATTTTATATGTCTAACACATAAAAATTAGTTTCAACTTTAAAGTCTTCTTCAGTCGCATATGAATTATAATAGTTAAACTTCAATTGAACTTAACAAGTTATAAGAATTAAAAAATTAGAATGTTAAAAGGTAAAAATGATAGAAGTCGCAAATAGTTGTAAAAGAATTGACCAGAAGGAAACACTAAATTTGCAGATAATCAAACTTTTATATTTATAGATAATCTATATTTTCGTTTTTTATTTATACTAATTAGACGATTAGTTTGTGAGAAAAAAATTATAAAAGTAGTCATTTTTCAAATTTAGACATTTTTTATCTAAAAAACTATTGATTAAAAAAAAATTTTTTTTTAAAGAATTTTTATTTAAAGTTTAGGTTTTTTTTAAACAAAAAATTGTTTATAATTATTCAACGATTACATTAAAAAATAAAGTGTATAAATGTTTTTTCGTAGAATATAGAGGAATCAAATAAAATAATTTTCAGCCACTACGTTACTTGGAAGGTCAATGAATTGAAAATGGGAATTGTTTGTCTATCAATATCAGCAACTTTCTTCTATTAGAATATATATAGACGAGTATATAGTATATATTAATTGTTTTTCAATATACACATTTCAACTTTCAAATTACTGTTTTCAAACTCACCAATTGTATCGATATCTATAAACTTTAATTCAAGAATATGATTATTCTCTTCTTCATTTTGTTTGTCTTCTTGGTTTTCTATATTACAAGTTCTGTTTCTAGATATAGATTTGGATGATGTATGGTCCATTTGATTACATGAAATGCATCTCGAATTCACAGCACTATAATCTTTATTGACTTTGATATATCGTTTACACATTTGTCTTATAGGCATTGTTTTACTATTTGACTCTTGATTTGCTTGAGTCAAATATTCATTTGATTTATTCTGACTGCTTTCTTCATTTAGCTTTTCATCACTCCTATCGTTATCCAATTGATTAACAATATTCTCTTCATCATTTCTAGAAATGATAAGTATTTGGTTTTCAGTCAACTCCATCTTTGTAGCTATTTCACATGCCTTTTCAAACGTTAAATTATCTTCCGTCAATAACCTCTGTTTAATTTGTGCTGAATATAAACCGAAGATGAATTTGTCTCTCAAAGCTTCATCCAAAAATCCTTCAAATTTACAATATTTTGACAGATTCTTCAATTTAGTTCGGTATGATTTAATATCTTCACTACTATCTTGATTTGCGCTGTAGAATTTGTATCGTTCTGCTATTACAGGCCTTTTTAAATTATAATGATTTATTAACGTCTCTGTTAAAGCAGTATATGTCTTTTGATTGGGTAATTGTGGAGACAAAAGATCTTTTAAAACATTATAAGCTTCTCTCCCTAACAAAGTCAAGAAAAGTGGCACTTTCTTCTTTTCCTTCACATCGTTACAAATAAATAATTGTTCTATTCTTTCAATATAAGTCGTTATGTCAGTTTGATCTGGATTAAATGGTTCAATATTTCCGATTAGAGACATTGTGCTGATTTTGTATGTATCTTATAATTCTATAATACGTAGTAGCCTTGAATGGAATGTTATAAACTTAGAGCATATTTAAGGTTATAAATAACGCACGTGGATTTTCCAGAATCGTCACCAGATATGATCAGTTTCCGTACAAAAACTTACATAATGCATATCTTTTCTAACAATTTAATTTGTCTTAACTTTATTTACTATTGATATAATTATAGTAATCTTACGAGTATCAAAGAGCACCGCCTGGATACTTTAGATGGGTATGAAGATAAAAGAGATAGATCCATGCATGATAGAATCAGACGTTGTATAGAGAGAAACCTGAGAGTGGATATCCTAATCTTTTTCCTGTATCAAACCTCATAAGGTAATATCCATATTTTTATGGTTCTTGTCCATACTATTATATGGCTTTTCCTGGTGAAAATTTTTCTCAAAATTTTTCATATAATTTTTTAAAATTTCTATATAATTTTATAACTTTCTCATACTTTCTATACGAATTAGAGCACTTCTCAGAAAATCTACGTCTTTTCTCAGAATTTTTCATATATGAATTAATTATGAAATATCGTAAGATTTTTAAGATTTTTTTGTAAGTATAATTTCTGATGAAATGTTATAAAATCTAAAAAATTTTTGAAAACATTTTTTAAAAATTATGGGATGAGAAATCTCAGAATATTTCAGAATATGAAAAATTGTGAGAGATGTGAATCATTCGAATATTTCTGAAAAATGTTTCAATTCCTATAAAAATTATTTAACAAATGTTTACCAGAGATGACAAGGACGAACAATCAATGTCTTTGTTTATTCATCCTTATCACCGACAAAATACTATTTAAAGACCGACATCCTTATGGGAATTCGCGTCCTTGAGAATATTAAAGTAATTAAGAGTTAAAAACTGATAATATTATACTTATTTTAGGATTTATTAGTTTAATTAGACGCATATTTATGCATTTAGAATAAACTCGATTTTTCTTTAAAATTGTGATTTCAGTGTCATCATCAAAGTTTGAATATCAAAAAAGGTGATAATTGCAGAGAAAAACATTGTAATTTTTCTGCAATATAAGATATTATAGCTTTACAAGTATATTTATTTATGAAATATTTATGTAATAAAAATCATGAATTTAATAATGAATTTAATAATGCTTGAGCCAAATATTAATGTTAATAACAAATTTAATAATAGCAAATTTATATCAATTGTCAATAATGTCAGCGTTCTTCAATTACCTGCAGGCCCTTTTTATATCGCTGAAAATTTGCCTAGAGCCCAGGGTTTTTAATAATATCTCGTCGGTGTCCTAATACCCGTATTCATAGTTTTTCCTTGAGGAATGAGGATTCTTTATTCCTTATTCCACATTTCATAAACCTTCTTCGACCAAAAAAGGAACCTTATTAGCTTCTTTTTCTCAAGAAAGGTTACGAATTTCTTTGAAGAGGAGATGCAGCCTCATAACAATGAAACCACCAAAGTTAGTTCTTTGGTATTTTTATCACATCGATCTTTTTAATTTCGATAGCTTTTAATTTAGATCTGTCGCATCGATAATTATTTTCGATAGTTTTTTTTTTCGGAAATAAACTGCGTCAAAAGTATTTTCTCCTTCTTCGTATAATAAGCATTATGACGAATCCGATTGGAAGCACAGATGCATATTAAAGCCGTTGTACACTGATTTAACTTGAGTATAAAAATAAAATACAAATATTTAGAATTATGAAATACATATTTTACCTAACAGTACAATAAAATATATTGAATATTTCACAATTTAATCAATTTCTATGTTTATTTATAAACATATATTTACGTTATTTTGTGTATGTACGACAGTTTTATAATGTGCATCAGTGCGCAGTGAGTGCGTCTAATCAAATTCGCTATTAGTTTTATTTTTGTCCATTATTGTTGCAAAATGCTTAATCACGACTTTATTTAATTAACAACGCCTTTATAATCTTTATTATTCATAATTCATAATAGTAAGTTTACATATATTATATATTATGACATGCTGCCTTCAGTAGGTTACTAAATCATTAAAATATTCCTTCCTTCGAGAAGGCAAGACGACTTGAGATCCATTTATGAAGCAAGGAAGCCTTGGAGAATCGAGGAAGCCTCCATGAAGGATTCTTCGATTCTCCAAGACCTCCTTGTTTCATAATAATATCTTAAGATCTCCTTGCAGAAGGAGCCTATTCTCTAGGAATTTTTGCTAATTTGTGATTAAAATTTGACTTATTTGTAAAAAGCGCGAATAAGAATAACCTATTTTTAGTTGTCTTGGACCTGTTGTTGCTTCTCGTGGGTTTGTTTAATAACACTAGAAATATAATTTTAATGTGCAATTATGGAATACAGATCAAGAGGTCCTTATTCCACCGATAAGGAGCGGATGTTTCTTGCACAATTAATATTCGAAGAAAAAGTTATAGAAAGTAAAAAAACAAGGACAAAGGATCAAAGGAAAAGTAAGAATGAAGCTTGGGAAAGAGTTACTAAAAGATTCTGCAGCCAAGGATTTACACCTCGTACTAGCAAACAATTAAAAAAATGCTGGGTTAACATGAAACAAAGGTATGTAAATAATTTTCTTAATATTTTTATGGCCTATAAATTGTGCTAGATAATATATCTAATTTTTGTAGATGTATTGTAATTTTTGCTCTGTTTTTGTTTAATATAATTCTGACATTTATGTCAGAAATGTTAATTTTATTTATTTATAAAATATTATTTTAGAAAAAGGAAGTTTAATACTTTAATGAAAGTTCAGCATCTTATGATGGATGGAAGCGTTTCACCAGCAGTGTTCGATGATCTAGTCATGGATGCTCCCAATTTAGATCTTGAAATATCATGTCCATTTGATAGTACAGCTCAATTTAAGAAAGAATGTATGATATACTTTTGTATTTATTTATTAAAACCAGAAAACTTTCATTTTTTTTTTAATTTCTTTGACATTTATTACTTATCTAATTTGTTTATATATATATATATATTTCTTTGTTTAGACGATGTCAAGAATAACTCAAAAAGGCAATTAATCACTAATGACGAAGAAGACATGGACAGAACTATGAAAAGGGAACAAATCTCTGTATTAAAAAATAAAGATTTTTACAATCTAACAGATGAAAAAGAGTTACGATTAAAACTTCGCGATGCAATTAAGCAGCAGCGAGAACTTTATTCGAAAAAAATGAAAGTTGTTGATGCAAAAATGAAAATCGCATTGCTTGAACTGTCGATGGCGAAAGTAAAGGAGCAATCCGAGAT